AATTGAAGACTACAAAATGGAAGCACAAAACAATTTGTAAACCAGCCGGCACACTATATGTATACCTATGGAAGATAGTTTGATGTTTTTATGTTTTGTTTGTTTATGTTTGTTTTAAAAAACCAATAAAATTTAAATAAATAAATAAAAAAGTAATAGGAAAATAACACCTGAAGGAGTTGAGGAAATCTCTAGGTTTGGCTGGATATTGACTTGATTTAATGGATGTTCCCTTGGGGAAGGATTAAAAGAGGGGAGATTTAATTATTTATTGATGATAGTGGATCACTTGACTGGATGGGTTGAGGCCTATCCAGCCATAAGAGCCACCACAGCAGTAATTACCAAAATTATACTGGAATAGATAATACCTAGATATGGGATAGTAGAAGCTATAGACAGCAACTCATTTTTCTGCAAAAGTGCTTCAATCAATCATAGAGTGTGGAATTCAGTGGGAATGTCACATTCTGTGGAATGCAAATTCATTTATGCCATGGACCAAATGTTTACCCTTGGTCTTTCTCAGAATTCAAACCCATCCAAAAAGGAACGTTTTACCTTATGAAATGAAGTTGGAAGTTCCACAAATGAAACTAAAGATTTTTTTTGTAAAGAACTGTGTACTTGGCCTTTCCTCTTCTTTATCTTACCTCAGAAACAAAGGACTACTAACTGAAACACTACCTCACAAATTTGCTGTCCATAAGTTCCAGCCTGGTGATTGGGTCCTGATAAGAGCTGACATGAGGAAAAACCTAGCCAAGCTTGAGACAGGTCCTACCAAGTCCTGGTGACCACTGAAACGGCAGTCTGAACAAAAGACAAAGGGTGTAAAAGGACATGCGTGTAAAAAGACCAGTTGATGAACTTAAACAGTGGAAAGTGGTTCCTGGAGAAGACCAGCTGAGAATAAAATTACCAAAAACTGATGTGGTCATGGTGGGTTTTGTATTTTCTCATTGCAGGAGTACCAACTTTTTGATTTTTCCTGCCTGGGTTATTCCATCTGAAGATCCCAAGCTAAGCTGTGAAACTTTGCACCCCACAGGATGTGTTGGTTCTGTGATTGTAACTGTATTACTGAATGTTGTTATTCATCTCTTTCCTGAAACATGTGAATCTAGCTCCCTTCTCTCATCTGTGATATCCCCATATTGTTACCAGTTTATCTGTTTAGTAACTGCAATACAGATGTGTTATGTCCCACCTTCTAAAATAAACAGTTAAGGCTGAAAGCAGCA